GTTGGGTCTAAATCGGATCCTGTTGGGTCTAAATCGGATCCTGTTGGGTCTAAATCGGATCCTGTTGGGTCTAAATCGGATCCTGTTGGGTCTAAGGCGGATCCCGTTAGATCTAAAGCAGATCCCGTTGGATCTATTCATCCCTCAGTGGTTCATTGATCTTCATCATTGGCAAATGAAGGAAAGTGAAGAGGAGCAGACGAACCAACATACCTGAATGATTGAAGCAGAGCAACATGGCTCCATATTCATTAACACTGATGCCAGCTCTACTTTCTGAAGCAGCTCCTCTGCTTCTCCTTTAGGCTGAGATGTTTGAGTGGAGAGAACATCCAGGCGCTTTAAAGCTCATCTAGATCTCAGCTTTCTATAAATCCTCAGGAGTTTGCAGATACACAGCGGCACTGATCAGCTTTTTGTTTTGAACAGCAGCAGCAGCAGGTGGTGGTGGTGAGCTGTAGTGACGCCACCTGACTTCAGAGCCGGGGATTCCCGCAACCTGAGCCGTGCTGCTGCTGGAGCATCTGGGGCATCAGAGGTCGTCTGATGGACGATATCCATGAGGAGGAGCGGCCTGATGGGATCAGGAACATTTGACTGATGAGTCCAGCTGCAGGGAGGCCGGATGGGTCATGAAAATAAACCAAACACGCTTCTTATCGTTATTAATATTAACCTGATTATAGAAGGGGGGTGTTAAAACAGAAAAAAATGTTACACCCTAACCCTCTAAGTTTTAAACCTGCACATGTGCATGGAGATAAGTTTACAGGCGTGTGTTTGATTATAAAACTGCTCAGATGAGTATTTATTACAGCTATGGAATGGATTCAAAATGAAAATCACCTCCATTGATCTCCTGGTCCAGCTCAATCCTATGTTTTCTTGTTTTCTCTAACCGATGCAGACGTTCCGGCTCATCCGTGTTTCTTTAGTTCCTGATGTTTCCTGTTTTCTCTATCCAATGCAGACGTTCCAGCACCGGAGCAGCCGGAACTGTTCTTAAAGAAGCTACAACAGTGCTGCACCGTCTTCGACTTCATGGACACGCTGTCCGACCTCAAGATGAAAGAGTATAAACGCTCCACCCTCAACGAGCTGGTGGACTACGTGACTGTCAGCCGTGGCTACCTGACAGAGCAGGCCTATCCTGAGGTGGTCAAAATGGTAAGAAAGAGCAGCCATGCTTAGAAGCTCAGCTGTTAGAACCAGTCCTTCACATGTTCATAGTTCACTTTAGGAGGAGGAAACAGTTAGCCTCGCTAACTCAACTGTAAAACAGTTTAATTCAGTTTATTTGGAAGGTGACAATTCACTTCATTCAAATTTAGTCTTATTGCTATTTAATCCAAAACTGGATTTAATCCTTGATATTAAACATAAATCTAAAAGTTTGAGTAAAAGCAAGGAATATAATTAGGAAATTTGAGATGAGGAAAAATGTTGCCTATGGCTTAATCCCAGTATACCTCCCAGTCACACCAGTTGCACCCTGGAAAAGAAGCCACAAGGGTTAGGGCAATCTTCTCCTGGAATTGGGACACCGCTTGCTGCACAGTTGACTCTCTGTTGCATAAATGACTGCGTCTGCACATAACCTAAGATATGCACCACCATGAGAGAGGAAGCGTAAAATAAAACTAAGCAGAGGATTAAGTTGATTAACTTTCCTTTATGAGTGATTTTTAAACCCAACTGAGAATATCTAGTTTAATAATTATGCTAATTACAAAACCAAA